TCTTCCTCAAACCAGCCATAGAGGCGAGAGCCGCTCTAGCCCCGCAGTCCGCCCAGAGGCGGGACCGAAGGGGATAAGCCCCGCCCACACAGGAAGGGCGGCCCCACTTCCCTCAGTCAAGGGAGCCGGGGCTGGGGGTTCGGTGACGGCAGTGTTACGAGGGGTGCAGTAATGATCGTATTTGTGCGATAATTGCAAGTCTTGTGCGATCAACAATAATAATAATAATAGTGGTCAAAATGTCCAGTCATTTTTGAAGCAGCTGATTGATGCAGCAGATGCAAAACCCAAGTCATCCTTAGGGAGTCTTAACTGACCTGCAGGCTTTTTGTTCCCCCTCCCCCCCGACTTTCACTGCCACCACTTGCTTAGGAAGGCTGGCCTCCAAATAAATGCTTCAACTCTGATGCACCAATTCTCACTCACTCACTGGCAACTTATAAGGAGCAATATAAAGGAGGTAAGAAGATGACCGATTTGCATCAGTATACTGTATTTTTTCAACAAATACAATAATTTTGAGCTTCCAATATGATAATTTCACACTTAAGACTTGGCTACAGTGGGTGGAAGCAGTGGGGCTTAAAGCTGGCTGGGCTCCAGGTGCCTTGCCCTCCCTTCTCCCTTTCAGCAGCCAATTCATATAGCCAAGGGCTTGCCCCGACACACAGGGGCCAGGCAGTGAGGGGTGGTAAGCCTGGGTCTGCCCTTATCCTCTTAGCTCCTCCACTTCTCACCCCTGTGTCCCTGGCAGGGGAAACCATGGATCTGGGTCCATAAAGGCAGTTTTCCTGAAGCGTACCCGGGGTAACGGCTTTTCTGGTGTGGTTTAGTACCCACTGAGGTGGTTGGGGCTTGACGCCCACTTTATGGAAATGGGAGGCTCCTCCCTGGGTTGCTCCTGTGGCCATATGGCTGAGGGCAGGCAAAACTTGGGGGCATCCGAACCCCAAGCCTTCGGGCTTAGGCCTGCACGTAGGATGCCTGCCAAAAGACTTTGGAAGTATCTGAAGCCCCTGCTGGGGGTAGAAGATGTTTTCCAGTTGTAGGGCCACTTATGGTTTTGGACCAACTCTCAGATTTGGATTTGATTGGGCCACGTTTAGGGTGGCCATCATAGAGGGCAGTCCAGTTGTCTGCTACACTGTCCTCTGTTAATACAAAGCCTGACGCCTTTATGTCCTCTATTTGTCTCTTGAAGAGACAAATAGAGGACATAAAGACATCTGGTTTTGTATCAACAGAGGACAACCTTAGCCACTTTGAAGCTGGCCAGCCCTGTTGTTAACAAGATCATAGTCATAGGGAAGTCAGGCTGGAAGGGAGCACCAGAAGGCAGTGTAGCGTTTCTCAACCCATGCATAAATCATGAATCAAGGGGGTTGCAAGAATATATGAAAAGGTTGCAAACAAACTTGAAAAACTGATTCTCTTTCAAAGGAGGAAAAACCTGGGAAACTGTGGCTTTTCCCTTGCAGGCTGGCAGAGTTTCAGCCTACAAGGGTCTGCTTGCCCCCCTCCACCCCCCATGCCGCACACTAGGGGGCTTGGGCTGGAAGTGAGGGGCACTATGTCGGGACTGGCCATTGATGTGTACACATGGGTCCTGGTACAAAAAAAGGTTGATTACCACTACTCTAGTCCAACTCCCTGTCCGAGGCAGGATCAGCCCTATCCAACCCATTCCATACAAGCATCATCTAGAAAACTCTACATAAAAGACTACCTTCACCGTAACCTGCCACAGGAAAAGCAAGGGGAACCACAACAGCCAATGTCCACCCTGCTCCTGTAAAATGTTGTCAACATACATTCAAAGGTCTCTCTCAGAGGGAGGAGAATCTGTGAAGCAGGGTGATTTGAAACCATTGTTTTTCCCCCCAAAACAATGAATAATGAAAATACTTGGCAAGGGGGTTACCCATCACCTGACTCCCTTTAAACAATAAAGCCGACAAACAAACAACGCCCCCCCTCCGAAAACCAGAACCCCACCCCCCGCAAAAAAAAAACCCACCAAAAAAATATGTGGACTCTTACAGGGATCCACCTCTTTATTTACTTACATCCCAAACCCCACTGGCCTAGTGCAGCACTCTAAAACTGGGGTTGGCAACATTTCCATCATAGGATGCTCTCATAGAATCATAGAAGCAGGTTCAGAAGGGACCTTGTAGATCTTCAAGTCCGACCCCCTGCCTGGGCAGGAGGGAAACCGGGCTCAAGTGACCCTAGCCAGGTAGGCATCAAGCCGCTTCTTAAAGACCCCAAGGGTAGGAGCCAGCACCACTTCCCTTGGAAGTTGGTTCCAGATCCTAGCCGCCCTTACTGTGAAGTAGTTCCTACAGATGTCTAATAGGTCCCCCCTCAGCCTTCTCTTGTGAAGGCTGAACAGGTTCAGGTCCCGTAGCCTCTCATTGTAGGGTCTGCCCTGCTGTCCCCGGATCATGCAGGTGGCCCTCCTCTGGACCCTCTCAATGTTGTCCACATCCCTCTTGAAGTGGGGTGCCCAGAACTGGACACAGTACTCCAGCTGCGGCCCGACCAGTGTCGTGTAGAGGGGGAGGATCACCTCCTTGGCCCTACTTGAGATGCACCTGTGGATGCATGATAGGGTCCGGTTAGCCCTGCCGACTGTGACCTCGCATTGGCGGCCCATGTTCATCTTGGAGTCAATGACTCCAAGATCCCTTTCTGCCTCCATACTCTCAAGAAAGGAGTTTCCCATCTTATAAGTGTGCTGCTGGTTACTACTGCCCAAAGTGCAGCACCCTGCACTTGTCAGTATCGAAACGCATCCTGTTTTTGTTAGCCCACCCTTGCAACCTATCCAGGTCTTTCTGCAGTCTTTCCCTCCCTACTAGTGTGCCCACCTCACCCCAAATTCTGGTATCATCAGCAAATTTGAACAGGTTGCTTTTCACCCCGTCGTCCAAATTGCTGATAAAGAAATTGGGCCCGAGCCCTGGGGGACTCTGCTGCCCACTTCCCCCCAGGTTGAATATGACCCGTCCACCACCACCCTCTGAGTACAACCCTTCAGCCAATTTGCATTCCATCTGACCGTGTAGACATTGATGCCACAGTCACCTAGTTTTTTAATGAGGATGGGGTGGTCAAAGGCCTTGCTGAAGTCCAGAAAGACTACATCCACGGTGACACCTGCGTCCAATGCTTTTGTGACCCGATTGTAAAAGGCAACGAGGTTGGTCTGACATGACCTACCCCTAATGAAACCGTGCTGGTTGCCCCTGAGCATCATCCCTGATGCCGGCCCATCACAGATGTGCTCCTTGATGATCTTCTCAAAGAGTTTCCCCGGGATTGAGATAACTGATGGGCCTATAGTTGCCTGGGTCCTCCCTCCTCCCTTTCTTAAAGATGGGGACCACATTGGCTATCTTCCAATCATCTGGCACCTGAAACCTCTCATGCAACTGCAAAGCTTAGGGCCAGGGCAGGAGAATATCTAGCTTCCATTTAAGTCAGGTTTAGCAGCTGGCCACTGGAGGGACTTCTTACTTCATGCAATAGATAGATCAACAAGGAATACAGAACTACAACTATTTCTTTAAGATTGGCTTGAATTTCTCAAGCCAGGATAGCTACAGGGGTGCAACCGGCAGAGCCATTGGATCTAGCCTGTAGAGGAGGGGCTTGGTTTGCCCTGGCTTGGTGGTGGAGAGGATGGATGACCAGTTTCTAGCATAGGCCCACCTAGGACCCAAACTGGGTCATTCTGCCCCACTGCCAGAAAAGGTTTACCGAGCCATTTTAGAATGTGGCACTAAGCCGCTGCATCCCTGGAGACCCCAAGTGAGCCTCAAAAGATTTTTTTTTTTTTTTTTTTTTTACTTATTCCTCTGTGGGGTTTATAGGAAAGATCTTGCTCCACATAAATTATCATTGTTTATACTTTTGCAATACCAGTCACGGGTCAGGCCAGGCCTCTCTTGGTCTGCTATCTCGGTATCATGTAAACCAGTGCTGCCTGTTCCATGGTCAGGTTTTTGGTGACTAAACTGGTGCCACCTGGGCTAGGCTGGATGAGGGTGTGTGGACACCCAGCAGGACTACAAACAAGACCTGTCAACAGACAGATGAGCTCTCTGCAAGCCAACAGCCATCCATACCTGAAGAGGAGATGGACGCCACCAGGTCAACTTGCCCGAAGAATCACCAGTGATGCACAACTCAACTAACCTCATGCAGAGTGGAGCAGCAGCAGCCTTAGGACTGATTTGAACAGCAATCAGAGAGAAAAGGGAATCTTTATGGTTTTTGGATGCAATTTTGTAGCAATGGATCCTTTTGAAGGGAGACAAGAGGCAACCCCTTTGCCAAGTATCTTAATTATTCACAAGACCTGCACCTGTTCCAATTTCAAAGTGGATTAAGCCAAAAGTTTAGAATTTACCTTTAAGGAAACAGCTGTGTCTAGCTTCTTAAGACCTCCCATCTCCCCCATTATTGAAGCAGGCAGAGCTGCTTTTGTGAAAACATTGCTGAATCTCCATTGGCGGGGGCAGCAGAGGATGAAGGAAGATGTCCCATCTTCCTATCCATGCAGACAGATGAAGTCTGTAGTAGAACTCCCCTTCCACAGCTCATAAATAAAATCAGGGCCATCTGCTAACACCAGCCAAAGGGAAGTCATGCAAGCATAGCCATATAGCTCCTGCCAAAATCATGCTGCAGCTGTGCCAATAGGGGAAACAGTGCACCCAGGGAAGCACCATTTTATTTGTAGAGTTGGCAGCAGCCAGCAGAAAGTGTAGGTGCATCTCCACCTGTCTTCTGTCAGCTGCACGGTGACTCGGAGCTAGTGTTACCCTGCCAACAGAAAGAAGGGGCTGTGCTGCCACAAGGGAGCTAAATGTAAACACAATTCTACTTACAAAACTAAAGTGTATACTAGGTTTGAGCATCTATACAACTGGACGCACACCGCGCTGGGGTCATC